ATACAGAACTAAAAAGTGTCACTTTGTAAAGAGTAATTTCATCTAAATTCCACCAGTGAGTTCTTTACTGTCTTGTCCCATATCACCAAACGTTTCTGCTCCAACGTGGACTCCAGCTGCATTTATCTCCAATTTCCTTCCATCTGGTTCGAGTTGCTTTCAAAGCCAGTCGTGATAAAAACAGGCTTTACTTTGCAAAATACAACACAGTGATACGGGACATGGTTAAAATTCAAGGGAAGCTGTGTTCCTCAGCGATGGCTCCGAGGTGCAGGGCGCAGCCAGAGCTCGCCAGCAGTCATGTCTCTGTGTGATCCTCCTCCTCACGATGGCTTCATGAATGAAGAGCTGTCTCGCCCATCGTTTCATAACCTCCAGGAAAAACTGTGCTGTGAACTCAGGCGGCTCAGACACATGGTTGACACACTATTTTCTGATAGTGATGGTAAATGGATACTTTGGCCCTTAATTCTCTCTCAAAGTATTTTAGCTCTGAGAAGTTAGAATTTATCTGCTGAATAATTTAACGTTTAAATCTGGTCAAACAAAAACTAATGCAAATCAGAAAACTTCAGCTGAGGACTCTTTTATCTTTAACTTATACAGTGTGTGGTCTGTATTTGTAATTTGGAGACATTAAACTCTGGATTAAATAACGTACTCACCCACAGCATGAAGATGGTTTTACTTACATTTTAACAGTCTCTTCTCATTGACTCATGCTGTAGTGGTCGTGCAGCCGACTGTTCACAGAGGGACAGACAAGAAAACTTGTGTCAGACACTTGATAAGTTCTTTGATGTTCATGCACATGATAGTAGCAACATAATATCTACTAATCATCACTCACACCGCTGTCACATTTGTTCTTCTCTTTCCTCACACGTGCCATTAAAATAGGATTCAGATGACACTCGTTACTACATGAGATGCTTTATTATTCTCTTGTCAGTGCACCATGTCAGAGTGAGGATAGACAGCCTCAGGAACATTATCTCAAGAGCTTGAGGCTCAATATAAAGAGATCACACAGAGGGAGGGAGATCATGCATCAGACGATGATTCGTGGGCACATCAAAGGGAAGCATCTGTTTCACAACCTTGGAGGGGAAGGGTTCCAGGCTCTTACACAGCAGATGCAGCGTCAGGCTGCCGGCCCACCTCATCCTCCACAGGTTCCACAACCCTCCTCTGTGAGGGTCCCACCTACAGGAGCAGGCAGCTGAGAAAGAGGAAACAGAATATCTATACCGAGAGGAAAGACGGTCATGGAGAAGGCCAACAGATTTAATTTACAGGGAGCTCGAGAGGCCATGATGTTATATTTTCTCTATATATTTATCACAAGGAAGTGGTGGGTGTATGTGAAATTTAACAAAGCTTTGCACATTATGTGACTAGTCTGCAGAGACTCCAGAACTGAGGTGATGTGAATAATTTGCATGAACTAGAAATCATATAATCATGTACAACTTAAATAGAAATCAACATGGGGTCTAAAATTGAACCTTGAGGAATTCCGCAAGTCATTTATGTGATAGTATGTTGTGGGAATGAATTACATAATCAAAAAGTGGCGTGTCCATATTTTCAGAACCTCACATTTTAAGTTGGCATGACCCCAAAAAAATTACCCACAGTGAAAAACAGCCAAGTTTGTCTCTGCCAACTTTTACAGTGTGTGAACGCAGCATTTAAAGCACATAAACACAGCTCCTAAAATTAAAGATGACTAAATAACCCTTTCTTAAAATATATGTCATTACAGTGTCCAGACTGTTCATTTCCAGCCGCTGTGAGGGACTGCAGACGCTCGGCTACACATTCACGCACAGTCAGATGTTGGTTCATGGTTGATTTAAAGCAGATTGACTCGGCAGACTTTGTGATAACCTAGTGATCAATATTCTTTACAAGAGTCACTGTGAAGTGAAGTGTTTCCACGTTTAAGTATCCAGACATTTCCGTTTGTGTCCCACATTTATTACAATCAAGGTTTTGCCTCTTGACAGTGTCACAAACTGTCATCTCAGTTATGCTGGTTTCTGTCTTTGGGACAGAAAGCGTTTTAATCCAAGCAAACTTTGGATCGGGCCTAATCGAGCTGAGTTCTGGAGTAACTTTCTCTTTCAGGTGGATTTTGGATATATTTAGAATTTAATTGTTTGGGTTTATTAAACATGGACGGATTAAATATCCCTCAGAATCGTTCTACTTCTTATATGAAATAATTTCTCTACAATATATGTGCTCAGGTGTGATTAACTGTCAGCACAACACTTCTAGTGATACCTCACTCAGCAGATCTCTACTTGAGATCTTACAAGTTTTTTAAAATGTTTTTATCCAAGATCGTGGTCTTTCAGTCTGGGAGCAGAGAGGGCGGGACAATTCTATTTGTCAGCACTACACTTGGCATTCTATCAGCTGGAAGATTATGTCAGACTTGTTAGACAATAAAATCCAAGTGCAGAAGAAAAAAATCAGAGAGCTTCAACATTAAGAGAAGAGCTGAAGCTCGAGTGCAAGAAATCTGTCCAGGTAAGATCACATCTGAGTGCAAGCATACAAACTGAGAACAAGGAGAGCAAATCTAAACACACGCAGGGCGATTTGTGTGCAAGTGCAGGGATTTCCGCAACAAAATCTGAATGTGAAATCAATGAGTCAAACCGAAAGTTTCTTGAATTAAAAAGAGAGAAAAAACCCTCATAAGATCTGGGACAGCAGAGGAGGAGGATTCGATTTGAGATGATAAAGTCTCCACGTGTTGCCAGGATGAGAAATCCTGACAACTGCCCAAGGCCTCACGTAGCAGCAGAGTGAAGCTAAAGGTTTCACAGATATTATACGTTTGAAAACCCAGTGCAGCGAGAAAGGAGATCTGCAATGTGAGAAATGCATCGAGCCTGAAACGTCTTTTAGTTACTTGAGTTTGGATATTCAAGATATTCAAAATGACAATAAAGGTGCAACAAGACAAATAATATACGACAAACTCTGTACTTCATCACATGTACTTCACTACATATGTTACGTACACATTTGGGAGCCCTCATGAAATGTGTTTTCTGTGTCCACAGCAAGTTTTCTATGGTTGTGTTTCTATATTTGGTTGCACATTGTTGGGTTGCATGTGTGTTGTCTGGCTGGTGAAGATGTTTTGTCTGTTCGCACGTGTCTTTTACAAAACATCCTTTTCACATAGCACGTGGGCAAATAATGGGTAAAAAACAATTTAAAGAATTTAATTATCATGTTGAGATGATGATTTTGTGCCATTCATGTGGGCGATGGGAGACTTAAAATAAACATCTTATTTTGGAGCAGGAGAGATACAAATTTTAGAGCGTAGTTGTTTGTTCTGAAAATAAGTGCGATGAGAGCATAGCGGAAAAAAAAGAATGAGCA